CCACATCAGTTGGGTCTCACCACCTGTGTCACACCAGCTGAGCCACATCATCACACCTCCCACCCTCAGATGTCAGTTGCCACCTTGGCATACATACTCTGAAATTCGGTGAGTTTACAACATAAAACTGTGCAATTTTCCTATGTAGCGTGTTTGTGATTTTACATAATTTAATGCTTGACCCAAAAAAAAAAGTGTTTGCCTTCGGGGCCTAGTAGTGAGTTATTTGAATATATCTGGGGAAGGTGGCAACGTGTAGTGTTTACATGTGTTGGTGGGAGCGGCGCCAGTTGTACGATAACCCCAGTCACCCTCACTCTCCTGTGGATATCATTGATTATCCGCCTTTTGTGGCAAACATTTTCGCTATCCGTGTATCATGGATATTCCTGCAGATTGCTCTAGAGTCGTGGATAGATGGTGCTTTTTTCACATTTGTTGTGCTGTAGTTGTTGGCTCCTTAAAACTAGTGCATGGCATAGCGGTGTAGTAGATGTGCTGTACAACAATACTCTGCAAGATGTTTTGTGGATCAGATCTCAGCAATAAGGTCCAAGAGGAGGCATGTATGTATATCGAATTGTTCCTTATGTGCATGATTAAATACCACATGTGGCTTGTCTGGCCAAATAGAGTTTGAGTGTAGCCTGGCTGCCACCCGCCCATCAATTTGAGAATATTGAGTATGCAAATGACTTATTGGCAACTGTAGTGCAGGTGTTGTGTGTATACACACACAGACACACACCTGTGTGTATGTATGTAAAGGATGAACTTGATCTCCCGGGCTGTTGTGGGTTGAGTTGCGTCATAGCAGCAGTCATAGTGAATGCTCCACTGACTTGAGTCAAGGGTCGTGACTGTGTGTAATGAACGTATGTGGGTAGTGTGAGCAAGGTTGACGACCAGAGGGCAAGTGGGTGGGTGTAGTATGTGTACGGTTATACGTAACGTGTGAGTGGATGGCTATGGGTGTTGTGTATACGTATAGTGAGTGGGTGTATGTGGGTGTGTCTGGTGAGTGCATTTGTGTGGGCGTATGTGTGTGTGGGCATGTGTATCCAGGGGAAGGGGTTGTACTCACGCTGTGTATATGCATGTGTATACTCACCTATATGTGGTTTCAAGGGTTGAGGCTCAGCTCCTGGTCCATCCTCTTTACTTGTCGCTGCTAGATTCACTCCTGGCTTTGAGATCCTTAGCGTACCTCTCCTTAAAACTATGTATGAATCCTGCCTCTCACTATTCTTCAGGTAATTCAACTTACTGGCTAATCTTGGGCTGAAGAAATACTTCCTAACGTCCCAGTGACTCAACTGTGTTTTCAACTTTCAGCTGTGCACTTTCTCCAGTTACTTAACATGCTTAATAAAGTGTAGGGTCCATACTGGTGCTGCATACTCCAATATGGGCCTGACATATTCCATATACAGTGTCATGAATAACTCCTTACTTAGATGTCCATTCTTAGAGTTAGCAGATGCACATTAGCTGCAACAGTTGTATGGGTGATATGCATAAGGTATTCAAAAATCAGGATCACATGATCACTAGTGCCAAGGGGCCTTTCTTATGGAATACCCCCTATGCCAGAACCACTCAGGGTGATTACAAGGTCCAGCCTTGCTGGTTCATCCTCTCCTCTCTCTCTGGTTGTGTCCCTAATATGTTGGTGCATGAAATTCTCCATTACCACCTCCAGCATCTTAGCCCCCTAATATGTTGGTGCATGAAATTCTCCATTACCACCTCCAGCATCTTAGCCCCTCCAGTTTTCTATTCCCTTATGTGACTAGATTCTCCCAGTCAACCTTAATTGTGATTAGTCTCCTTGATTAATAGCTTTACCTTGCTCATGTGAGCTCTTCTGGCCACCTCAGTTAGTGTATCCACCATTGCTCCATTGCTTTTATCATATTCTTGTCTTGGTCTCCTGTTTAGTGGAGGGTTGTACATCACTGCTATCACCACCTTGCAACCCCCAGTTTCCAGTGTGCCTACTGCTTCCTCTCTGTCCATTCCTCCCATCTTAAAGCTCCACTGGTTTCTGAGAAGCAGTGATACTCCTCTTCCCTTGGTCTTCCCCCAAAATGTGATAGCCAGCCAGGAAGATCACATGTTAGCACTGTAAGCTTTGTCTCTGTGAGTGCTATGATGTCTGATTCATTCGTGCCACCTCTCACTCTATTTGTTACTCTATCTGTATTTGTGTACCGTGCCTTCAGCTTCCTTTCCATCACTATGTTCCAGTTCATGAGTTCATGATCCTTACCCTTAGTTTGAGTGGAGGATGGGGGGTATTTTGTGAGAGTCAGCTGTAAAGAAGGTATTTGTGCTGTGGGAAATGGTGATTGTGGGTGTGGAGTATGGTCTGTTTTGGGCTTTTGTCCTTGTATGGGAGGGAAGGTTAGGGCTTGAGGGTGTGGGTGGGTGTGTTAGTTTTACTTTAACATCTTTATTATGCACACCATACCCATCCTGTGGGTGGTAGTCAAAAGATTACAGAGGTACATAATGGGTCCAGGACTGAGCCCCAAAGTTTTGAGAGCTGAACTAGCTCTGGTCACAATCATGGCCAAGTTACAGAGGTAATGAGCTCCAGGTCGAGCTGGTGACACTCATGACAAGTTTCAAAGGTAATGAACTAGATCTGGTCACAATCATGACAAGTTACAAAGGTAATGAATCATAAACACGTCCATACATGGTTACAGTCATGAACAAATTACAGAGTAATGAGCAGTTAACAAACATTCTAGGGAATGCATCCATCCCCAACAACAGATGTTGCTAGATGCCTGTCTCTGTGCGTGCGTGTGTGTGTGTGTATGTGTGTGTACATGTGTGTGTGTACATGTGTGTGTGTGTACATGTGTGTGTACTCGCCTATATGTTGTTGCAGGGGTCGAGACACGGCTCTGGGCCCCACCTCTTCATTGGTTGCTACTAGGTCCACTCTCTCCCTGCTCCATGAGCCCTATCATACCTCTTCTTAAAGCTATGTATGGATCCTGCCTCTACTACTTCACTCCAAATTGTTTCACTTCGTGACAACTCAAAGACTGAAGAAATATTTCCTAACATCCATATGACTCGTGTGTGTGTGGGGGGGATGCATATGAGGGGGCATTGTGTGTGTGTGTTTGTGTATACTCACAAATATACTTGCCTATTTGTGGTTGCAGGGGTCGATTCACAGCTCCTGGCATGTGCATGTGCGTGCCTGTGTACTCGCCTAATTGTGGCTGCAGGCCCCAGGCCCCATGTGTGTGTGTGTGTGTACTCACCTAATTGTGGTTGCAGGGATTGAGACTCAGCTCCTGGCCCCACCTCTTCACTGAGTGCTACTAGGTCCTTTCTCTCCCTGCTCCATGAGCTTCATCATACTTCACCTTAAAGCTATGTATGATTCCTGCATCCACCACCTCACTTGCTAGGCTATTCCACTTCCTGACTACTCTGTGACTGAAGAAATACTTCCTAACATCCCTTTGACTCATCTGGGTCTTCATCTTCCAATTGTGACCCCTTGTTCCTGTGTCCCCTCTCTGGAACATCCTGTCTCTGTCCACCTTGTCTATTCCATGCAGTATTTTGTATATTGTTATTATGTCTCCCCTAACCCTCCTGTCCTCCAGTGTCGTCAAGCCGATTTCCCTTAACCTTTCTTCTTAGGACATTCCCCTTAGCTCTGGAACTAACCTTGTTGCAAACCTTTGCACTTTCTCTAATTTCTTGACATACTTGATCATGTGTGGGTTCCAAACAGGCGCTGCATACCCCAGTATGGGCCTGACATACATAGTGTACAGTGTCTTGAACAATTCCTTACTAAAGTATCGGAATGCTGTTCTCAGGCTTGCCAGGCGCCCATGTGCTGCAGCAGTTATCTGGTTGATGTGTGCTTCCGGAGATGTGCTCGGTGTTATACTTGCCCCAAGATCTTTCTCCTTGAGTGAGGTTTCCAGTCTTTGGCCACCTAGCCTATACTCCATCTGCGGTCTTCTTTGCCCTTCCCCGATCTTCATGACTTTGCATTTGGCGGGGTTAAATTTGAGAAGCCAGTTACTGGACCAGGTGTCCAGTCTGTCCAGGTCCCTCTGAAGTCCTGCCTGATCCTCATCTGATTTAATTCTCCTCATTAACTTCACATCATCTGCAGACAGGGACACTTCTGTGTGTGTGTGTAGTGCATGTGCATGTGTGAGAGACAATGACTTTTCAGTAGTTCTATTTAACTTTATATAGTATTTTAGATTTTTAAAGATTAATAACTTGTATCCATTTTAAAATTTTAATTTTAATTCTCACTCAGAATATCAAATGATCATTCACATCCAGAGCACACACTGTAGATCTAATCACATTGTCAAATAAGGTAACATATATGTGTTTTCAGATTTGGACTTATTAATATACATTAAGTTGTATCATAATTTGTACTTGTATCTTGTGATAAAGTAAGTGTGTGTGTGTGTGTGTGTGTGTGTGTGTCTGTCTGTCTGTCTGTCTGTCTGTCTGTCTGTCTGTCTGTCTGTCTGTCTGTCTGTCTGTATGTCTGTCTGTCTGTCTGTCTGTGTGTCTGTGTCTGTGTCTGTGTCTGTGTCTGTCTTTTATTTTTGAGCTTAGTTAATACTTTACTGTTTGTGAATTGTTATATCAACTCCCATCCTTGTTATGTACTTTGTTATATGCCTTGGCTTGTCAAAGATCTTCAGACCACTCTTTTTTTCGCTAAACTTTTTCATTTTGATTGAGCTTGCATATTCCCTTGCCTTTATTAGAACCTGTCACTTGTACATATGTATTTGAAATATTTCCCTTACTTTTGCTTCTGTCCAACATTACTGTATTGTAAGACACCAGAGCAATACAATATGCCTTCCAATACTGATTGAAAGCTCTCATGCTCAGGTATAGTATTTATTTTTTCTTATTCTTCCTTTAAAATGACAGTTTGCTCAAGTTTTTCCTGTTACTTATTAACTAAGCTCTGACAGATGGAGACAGTGGCCATGAGAGAGGAGGGAAGAAGGAGTTGTTGAGAAGTAAGAAGAAGGACAAGAAGGAGAAAAACAAAGACAAAGGCTATGCTGCATTAGGAGAGGACAGCTCACCCGACGATATGGATCAGTCTGACAGCAAGTGAGTGTTCAGGGGATATTTGGGTTGTACTTTCCTAACTGTTCCCTGTGTTTGCAGGTATCAAACTTTATAGTCAAGCCCCAAAATTTGTGAGGGTTATGGTCATGAAGGTTCCACAGATTTAGAATTAGAGAATATTATAATGCAAAATTATGTGCAGATAATAATTTTTATGCAGATTACAGCTCATTCTGTATTTCAGAGGCTATATCTCTTAAAAATTTACTCTAATCTGGGTATTATTAACATTTATAAGGAAGAAAGATCTGGAAAGAAAGAGATTTGGAAAATCCTTTGAGCACCTTTGAAACAAAATCCCATGTGATTAAACTCTAAGAGGTCATATGCAAGGCAAAAAACAAATAGAAAGTATAAATAACTGAAGCTATTCTCAGGGGGCCTTTCAGTAAAATCGTTGGATAATCAAAATGCACGAATTAAGAGGCTCTCGATTCAGGGGGTTTGACTATACCACCAAGTATCTTTAACTTTGTTACAGTTCCCCTTGTGAGTAAGACACGTGCAACGGTAAGGTATCTTTATTCTGAAACATTTTGCTTACACAGTAGGCAGAGGGGTTAGTGGAAGCAATAGAGATGTAAACACTGGGAATGTTTGGAGTCCCCTCACCTGTACTCACTGGAGTGCAGGTGAGAAATGCATCATAATCTACACTTGAAAAATCCTAGGACTGATCCCAAATCTGCACACAGATGGTGCAGCATACCCTGCAATAAAAGTAGGGGTGCAATGAGTACACTAAGAGAAAACACTAAGTGTCCAGGGCCCAAGACTGTTCAACAACCTCCCACCAGGCATAAGGGAAATTACCAACAGACCTCTGGCTGCCTTCAAGAGGGAGTTGGACAGATATCCAAAGGCAGTACCCGATCAGCTGGGATGTGGTTCGTATGTTGGACTAAGTATGGCGAGCAGTAACAGCCTGGTTGATCAGGCCCTGATCCACCGGGATTCCTGGTCAAGGACTGGGTCACAGGGGCATTGACCCCCAGAACACCCTCCAGGTAGACAGGAACCTCAATAAGGACTACAATATATACAAACTATGTGAGGTCAATACGTGGTAAAGTACGTAGCAATAATGTGGAATCTACACTTCAAATATGCAAGATAACTTGAAAAAGTCTAGAGGTTTGCCATCACGCTAGTGCCCAAGATGTGGAGCTTAAGACCACAATGACATACCTAAAGACAAAAATCTCCCAATACTGGAGAGACAAAGAGTACGTGTAAGGGGAACTAAATATGATAATGGTGTATAATACCGACAGGTTGATAAGACACGTGTAACAGTTAAGTATCTTTATTCTGAATCATTTTGTCTACACAGTAGGCTACTTCAGTTGAGTACAGAGTCAGCCAAAGCAGTACAGATGTAAAGACGATGTAATCAGACCATCACCCTTAAAGATGTAGTTTTGAGGTGGTCAGTCCCTCAGCCTGGAGAAGAGTTTTGCTCCATGAGGTGAAGGTGAATCAACAGTACGAGGATTTATATACTGTCTGAGGTGAGGCGCAGCCCACTAGTGGAAGAAAGAATGTAATCATTGACAATATCAGTCTTCATACTGTTACTTCACCTTTGCATTGTTCCAGACTATGAAGCAAAAAACTTCTCCAAGCTGAGGGACTGACCACCTCAAAACTGTCTTCAAGAGTAATGGACTGATTACATCGTCTTTACATCTGTACTGCTTTGGCTGACTCTGTACTCAACTGAAGTAGCCTACTGTGTAGACAAAATGATTCAGAATAAAGATACCTAACTGTTACACGTGTCTTATCAACCTGTCGGTATATATACCATTATCATATTTAGTTCCCCTTATACTCTTTGTCTCTCCAGTATTGGGAGATTTTTGTCTTTAGGTATGTCATTGTGGTCTTAAGCTCCACATCTTGGGCACTAGTGTGATGGCAAACCTCTAGACTTTTTCAAGTTATCTTGCATATTTGAAGTGTAGATTCCACATTATTGCTACGTACTTTACCACGTATTGACCTCACATAGTTTGTATATATTGTAGTCCTTATTGAGGTTCCTGTCTACCTGGAGGGTGTTCTGGGGGTCAATGCCCCTGTGACCCAGTCCTTGACCAGGAATCCCGGTAGATCAGGGCCTGGTCAACCAGGCTGTTACTGCTCGCCATACTTAGTCCAACATACGAACCACATCCCAGCTGATCGGGTACTGCCTTTGGATATCTGTCCAGCTCCCTCTTGAAGGCAGCCAGAGGTCTGTTGGTAATTCCCCTTATGCCTGGTGGGAGGCTGTTGAACAGTCTTGGGCCCTGGACACTTAGTGTTTTCTCTTAGTGTACTCATTGCACCCCTACTTTTATTGCAAGGTATCCTGCACCATTTGTGTGCAGATTTGGGATCAGTCCTAGGATTTTCCAGGTGTAGATTATGATGCATCTCTCACCTGCACTCCAGTGAGTACAGGTGAGGGGACTCCAAACATTCCCAGTAATTAAGGAAGATCCTGCAACAGGTTCCTGAGGGTAATCCTGCAACAGATTCCTGTGGATGCTCCTGCAACAGGTTCCTGAGGATGATCCTGCAATAGGTTCCTGAGGATGATCTTGCAACAGGTTCCTGAGGATGATCTTGCAACAGGTTCCTGTGGATGATCCTGCAACAGGTTCCTGTGGATGATCCTGCAACAGGTTTCTGTGAATGATCCTGCAACAGGTTCCTGTGGATGATCCCACAGCAGGTTCCTGTGAATGATCCAGCAACAGGTTCCTGTGGATGATCTTGCAACAGGTTCCTGTGGATGATCCTGCAACAGGTACCTGTGGATGATCCTGCAACAGGTTCCTGTGGATGATGTTGCAACAGGTTCCTGTGGATGAACCTGCAACAGGGTCCTGTGGATGATGCTGCAACAGGGTCCTGGGGATGATCCTGCAACAGGGTTCTGTGGATGATCCTGCAACAGGTTCTTGTGGATGATCCTGCAACAGGTTCCTGTGGATGCTGCTGCAACAGGTTCCTGTGGATGATCCTGTAACAGGTTCCAGTGGATGGTCCTGTAACAGGTTCTTGTGGATGATCTGGCAGCAGACTCCTATGGATGATCTGGCAGCAGATTCCTGTGGATGATCCAGCAACAGGTTCCTGTTGTTGATCTGGCAACAGGTTCCTGTGGATGATCCTGCAACAGGTTCGTGTGGCTGTTCTGGCAACAGGTTCCTTTAGATGATCCGGCAACCGGTTCTTGTGGATGATCCCGCAACAGGTTCCTGTGGATGATGCTGTAACAGGTTCCTGTGGATGATGCTGTAACAGGTTCCTGTGGATGATCCTGCAACAGGTTCCTGTGGATGATCCTGCAACAGGTTCCTGTAGATCCTGCAACAGGTTCCTGTGGATGATCCTGCAACAGATTCCTGTGGATGATCCTGCAACAGGTTCCTGAGGACTATCCCATGACCTGATTGATGGCAGGTGTTACTGTAGCCACTTGCAAACTTACACTTCTTGCCAGTGCTCACCTTGTGAAAATTATGTATGTGAAGGGCCCCAACTGTTGCTCAGATTCATTCACTACAGAATGAACAAGGGCCTTAAAAGATTCACGCTCGTTGCTGACATCTGTGGAACTTGGAATCCGTTTTTCTATAGACACCCATGTTATAATCGAGATGTGTTCATGAAGTATAATATTCCATATCTATTTTATTTTTAGTAGTGGAATTAAAAATCAGTGCATAGTACAGTATTAAAAAAACAATATGTAGTACAATACTCAGAAGAGGCCCTCTCTACTCTTTCCTTCCCCTCATTCTTATTTCCTTTCCACCCTTCTCTTCATTTGTATTTAGCACCCTTTCCCCCACTACTCCAGCTCTACACCATTTTACTGTACTTCAGTGGAATAATATACTCTACCATATCACTGTGCTCCATGACCCACTCCATCCATGGTCAAAGACTGTTCATCCTTCTACCAACAAACATCAGAAATGTTGCTGGAATAAGCATAAGGGTATTCAAGAGAAAACTAGATCGCTACCTCTGCCAAGTAACAGAGCAACCAGGCTCTGATACCTGTGTGGGCCAGCAAGCCACCAACATCAACAGTCTGGTTCCACACGCAATCGACAGAAAAACCTGGCACCAGGTCTGATTGTGAAGGCAGAAAACTCTACAAAACTTGTCACAGGTATATAAGATGCAGGCTGTCATTAGCAAAGAGTATTGGTTTCTTAGATGCTGTAAGAGGAGGAAAAGGAGAGGACCCAGAAGGCTCATGAGGGACCCTTAATTTCACTGAAAGTGGTTGAAGAAATGCCATTAATGGCTACATGCTGCTCTTACTTAGGTAGAATTAAAGTAGTATGCATGTGCATCTAAGTCCAAGGTCCAAGCTACATGTATCAAAAGTTTTACACAGATTGATAAAAAGTTAATAGGATATTAGTTTCCCTCAAGTCCTGTATAAACAATGTCAGGCATTTTTATGATGGCATCTTAGTTTTTTTTTTTTTTTTAATTGGAATCCCAATTGCCATGAAGTCAGCATATCATGTGTAAGTATCTGTATGGTTACTTGTGGATTACTTTCTCAAATATTTTTGATAGTATATGTTTTGGTTGATTAGATTTTGATCTGTAAGCATTAACACGAGTTTGATCATCTTTATGAATGGCTCTCTTGAAATTGTTTGGAAAGGTTTGCTCTTAAATTGATTTTTGAAAAGCTTTGAAATAATTTGAGATAAAACCAGGGCAATTTTCTTGTAGATTATAGCAAGTACAGTACAGCCTCTCCTCACTTAACTACGGAGTTGTGTTCCTAAGACCACATCGGTAACGAATTTGTTGTTGAGTGAGGAGCATACTATAATGGTAGTGAGTTTGTGTTGACCATCTTTAATATTGTTTTAATGTCATAAGAACATAAGAAAGGAGGAACACTGCAGGAGGCCTGTTGGCCCATACTAGGCAGGTCCTTTACAATTCATCCCACTAACAAAACATTTGCCCAACCCAATTTTCAATGCCACCCAAGAAATAAGCTCTGATGTGAAAGTCCCACTCAAATCCAACCCCTCCCACTCATGTACTTACTCCAACCTAAATTTGAAACTACCCAAAGTCCCAGCCTCAGTAATCCAACTAGGATGACTGTTCCACTCATCAACTACCCTATTTCCAAACCAATACTTTCCTATGTCCTTTCTATATCTAAACTTATCTAATTTAAATCCATTACTGTGGGTTCTCTCTTGGAGAGACATCCTCAAGACCTTATTAATATCCCCTTTATTAATACCTATCTTCCACTTATACACTTCGATCAGGTCTCCCCTCATTCTTCGTCTAACAAGTGAATGTAACTTAAGAGTCTTCAATCTTTCTTCATAAGGAAGATTTTTAATGCTATGTATTATTTTAGTCATCCTACGCTGAATGTTTTCTAACGAATTTATGTCCATTCTGTAATATGGAGACCAGAACTGAGCTGTATAACATTTATAACATTTTTAGTGTATTTTTATATACAGTAGTTTACTGTATATTGTAATAAACAGAATAGAGGAAATCAGCTCTAATACACATTACAGTACTTAGGTATGCATACTCGTCAGAGAACCCGTCGTAAGTCTAAGTCGTCAGTAAACGAGTATGTCACTAAGTGAGGAGAGGCTGTATTTCTTTCTGTGCTACTACTGGCTGAGTTCTTAAGTGATTTTATTATTGAGGCTGTATCAGAGGTTGTGGTAGAAGACAAATAAAAGAAGTGGGGTAAATATTGGTCAGATAGTTACTGATGTCTGTACGGGCCTTAGTATAATGTGTTCGGCATTTTGTAAATTTTATTTTTTCATATTGGTTTGCCTTTAGCCGTATATATTAAATATTTTTTTATTGAGGTATTATGGTTGAATATCGTCATGAAGTGCAAATAATAGATTTATTGAAACAAAACAGAAATGATTCTACCCATAGTGTACAAAGCTGTTAAAATGGCACAAAAATTAGGAATGTGTTCACTATGCTACACAGTAAAAGAAACATTCCCGGTTCTTCTAGGTAAATACTACACAATGACATACAGTAAGTCCTCGACTTACAAGCACATTGGGGATCTTGTGTAGTGTGTATAATAATGATATTATACACAATAATAATATAATGATATACACAATGCAAAAGATTCTCAGTGTGTTAGTAAGTCGAGGACTTATTGTATTGAAAACTGGTAGAAAGAAAAGTATATACAGGAATACCTCGCTAATGTGGCAGGTTAGGTTCCAGACCACTACTGTAAAGTGAATGTCGTCTTAAAGCAGATAATTTTTTTTTCACTTGCCAGTGCATATAAAAGCCTAACATGTTGACACTGTCATTCATTAGGCGCACAATAACGCTAGTTCTACAAAAATGATGCAAAAGTAAAAGATAAATAAAATATGCTACAGTACTGTATTGCTAACCTTAAAATATTTTCACTGCTGAAATTAACCCCTTGACTGTCGCAACCCCCAATCCTAAGGTGTCTCCTGGTGTCGCAAAATTTAAAAAAAAAAAAATATTTTTTCTTATGAAATGATAGAGAATCTTTTCCCGATTGTAATGACACCAAAAAAAACGAAATTTTATGGAAAACTGACGGAATTATGCTCTCGCGAAGTTAGCGACCTCGGCGATATTTACAAATCGGCAATTTCGCCCACTTTGAGCCCTATTTTCGGCTAATTCCTTTGTTCCTGTCGACCAAACTCATAGCTATTTATTTAGAACTCCATTTTTTCTATCGATTTAGTACAAGAAACTGCCCATTTGCTGATTTCAACTACCCAATAATGTGGTCAGAAATTTGCAATTTGGCCAATTTCACGAAAATTAAAAAATATGATATTTTCAAAATAAGGTCCAGAATGAACAATGCAGACATTCCTGGCTCTAAAATAACATACATGTATTCTTTGTTCATCAGTCATGTCTCCAGGCCCCTCTGATATTACTCTTGCTTTCTATTTTGAATATTTATTCAAACAAAAAATAGAAGACTTACTATTATGCAGACTACTGCAATACTGTAATAATTGTATGAATAACATCAACCCATTCATGACTGCATATTAGAATGGCTAGTTGGACATTTATTGGACAATGACATCATTTGTTTACTTTTGAACATTGGCAAAAATCAAACATTTCCCCTACTTTGAGCTCCATTTCCAGGTACTTTTTATAGTAAAATCAATCAAAATCACCTCTATTTCTATAATATGTTTTCCTTTCTATCAAATGAAACCAAGAAAACGAGAATACAACCATAAATACTATACGAAAATAGACCACAAAGTTGGCATTTTAATTAAAAAAATGGTCGGAGTTTTTTTTTTCTCATTATGCACTGCGTGCTCCAGGATTTTTTTATATGGTGCACACTGACTACACAGACCCATTCTCTCACATGTGGGCCTACCAGCTTTCTCCTGCTTGATTTGAAGCCGCTAGAATTTATGAGTATATATACGTCAAACACGGTACCTCGTAAGACGTATATATACGGCCGCCACAGTCAAAGGGTTAATAAACATGACGATAATTGAAAAGTGCTATATTAGTGAAGCCTCTAAAGCAAAGCACCATATTAGCGAGGTATGCCTGTATTAACCATCCTGCTGATGGTACTGGAGTAGTTTTTGTTTGAATAAGCTTCAACTACTATAGATAAATTTCCACTAAAAATGTGTTAATAGTATTTTTGGTAATGCTGTTTTTTCCACAGGAGTCCACTAAAACCAAAAAAGCCAAAGTCCTTTAAATTCTTACATAAAAGAGAAAAAGATAAAGAGGATAAGGAAAAGGAGAGAGAAAAAGACAAGGAAGACAGAAGAGATGACAAAAGGAGAGATGATAGAAAGAAAGAGAAGGAAGAGAAGAAAGAAGAGAAGAAAAAGGAAAAAGAGGACAAAAAAGGGGACAAGAAGAAAGAAAAAGAAGATAAGAAAGGTGATAAAAAGAAAGAAAAAGAGAAGGAAAAGGAGGAGAGAAGAAGAGAAAAAGAAGAGAAGAAGAAAATTAAAAAGGATAAGAAAAAGAAACTTGAAGAAGTATATGAAGGTTTGTTTACCTAAGTACCATTGCCAAGTCATCCTAAATCCATTTTATTTTTTTTTTTTTTTTTTTAATAGTACCTGTTTAATACTGTCTTGTCTGAGTCATCTGGAATACTTATTCTTTATGTAATAATACCTCCTTGAAATATTTGTCCAAGATGGAAATTATTCACTTTTTTTTTTTTTTTTTTTTTTTTCTGCTTAAGCATTGCATCACAAATTCAGATTGATATTTGCAGAGGAGCTGCCGGTGTTTGGTGTACCACTCTATGTAGCAGTTGAGAGATGCCCGAGCCATGATGGTATCCACCTTCCTGTCATTGTGAGGGAATGCATCGACTATATCGAAGAACACGGTAAATGGTATACCTTGTTTCTTCTCTCTCCCCATTCCAAAGACTTAGATTATCTCTTTTGAGTTTTTTTTTTTTTTTTTGTGTGTGTGTGTGTATTTTTACTTTTGTACTCAAAAATGGCTGCAGGAATTGAGGTGTTGTGTCCCTACCAATAAAATTAGACTTCAGATCCAGGTGTCTAGAATATGTAATAGTTTCTCCTTTTGTCATTAGAAATTAGCATAAATAGAATAATTACTAATTTACTAGCATGTACCATTAATGAAAAGGCATTACTTTATTGATCAAATGATATTATCTAGGACTGTATTTAAAAGTGATAATGTGATCAGCTTGATTTAATCTGAGTAAAAGCTTTTGGTTATCCTATTGATTATAAAAAAAAAAAAATTACCCTCAGGTCTACACTGTGAGGGTATTTATAGATTGAGTGGAGTGAAGAGTAAAGTTCAACACCTTCGCCGTCAGTACAATTCAGGAGACCCCGTCAGACTCACAGACCAAGAACCTCATGTTGTTGCCTCGCTATTAAAGCAATATCTCAGGTATGGGATTTAATAGCTGTTATGAATGTTGAAGACTTACAGTAATCACTTTATTTATGAGGGTTTGTTCTGTGTAAATTTGCTTTCATGTGATGTCCCATTTCTACCAGTAAGTCTGTGCAAAATAGGTTCATTGTTTGCAAAACACAATGAAAATTCCTATAATGAGAAGTTAGTGTTGATGACCTGATTTTTTACTACCGCAACTGAAATGCATCTACTGCATGAAATATGATGCACCTTTATTCATTTTTGTTGAATATGAGAGGATAGAAATAAGGGATAAAATTTAGTGTTACAAATTGAGTGTTACAAACAATCTACAGGATTGTAGATGGACTTCTGGAGACACAGAACTAGGGCAAGTAACACACACACACACACACACACACACACACACACACACACACACCGTGAAGTATGTGAAGAACTCAACAAGAGATTCAAAGAAGTGTTCACAGAGGAGACAGAAGGGACTCCAGAAAGACGGAGAGGTGGGGCACACCACCAAGTGCTGGACACAGTGCACACAACCGAGGAAGAAGTGAAGAGGCTTCTGTGTGAGCTAGATACCTCAAAGGCAATGGGGCCAGATAACATCTCCCCATGGGTATTGAGAGAGGGAGCAGAGGCGCTATGTGTACCCCTAACAACAATATTCAATACATCTATCGAAACAGGGTGATTTCCTGAGGCATGGAAGACAGCAAATGTAGTCCCAATCTTTAACCCTTTGACTGTCACAACTCCCAATCCTGAGGTGTCTCCTGGTGTCGCAAAATTTAAAAAAAAAAAAAAAAAAAATTTTTTCTTATGAAATGATAGAGAATCTTTTCCCGATTGTAATGACACCAAAAAAACAAAATTTGATGGAAAACTGAAGGAATTACGCTCTCGCAAAGTTAGCGACTTCAGCGCTGTTTACAAATCGGCGATTTCGCCCACTTTGAGCCCTATTTTCGGCTAATTCCATTGGTCCAGTTGACCAAACTCATAGCTATTTCTTTAGAACTCCATTTGTTCTATCGATTGAATACAAGAAACTGCCCATTTACCGATTTCAACTACCTAAAAATGTGGTCAGAAATTTGCAATTTGGCCAATTTCACGAAAACTAAAAAATATGACAATTTCAAAATAAGGTCCAGAATGAACAATGCACACATTCCTGGCTCTAAAATAACATTTTCTTTGCTCATCAGTCATGTCTCCAGGCCCCTCTGATATTACTCTTGCTTTCTATTTTAAATTTTTATTTAAACAAAAAATTGAAGACTTACTATTATGCAGACTACTGTAATAATTGTATAAATAACATCAACCCATTCATGACTGCATATTAGAATGGCTAGTTGGACATTTATTGGACAATGGCATCATTTGTTTACTTTTGAACATTTGCAAAAATCAAACATTTCCCCTATTTTGAGCTCCATTTCTAGGTTCTTTTTATAGTAAAATCAATCAAAATCACCTCTATTTCTATAATATGTTTTCCATTCTATCAAATGAGACCAAGAAAACGAGAATACAACCATAAATACTATACGAAAATAGACCACAAAGTCGGCATTTTAATTAGAAAAAATGTTCGGAGTTTTTTTTCTCTCATTATGCACTGCGTGCTCCAGGATTTTTTTTATATGGTGCACACTGACCACACAGACCCATTCTCTCAGATGTGGGCCTACCAGCTTTCTCCTGCTTGATTTGAAGCCGCTAGAATTTATGAGTATATATACGTCAAACACGGTACCTCGTAAGACGTATATATACGGCCACGACAGTCAAAGGGTTAAAAAAGGAGACAGACATGAAGCATTAAACTACAGACCAGTGTCACTGACATGTATAGTATGCAAAATCATGGAGAAGATTATCAGGAGAAGAGTGGTGGAACACCTAGAAAGGAATGATCTTCAACAGCAGCCAACATGGTTTCAGGGACGGGAAATCCTGTGTCACAAACCTACTGGAGTTGTATGACTTGGTGACAGCAGTAAGACAAGAGAGAGAGGGGTGGGTGGATTGCATTTTCTTGGACTGCAAGAAGGCGTTTGACACAGTTCCACACAAGAGATTGGTGCAAAAACTGGAGGACGAAGCAGGGATAACAGGGAAGGCACTACAATGGATCAGGGAATACTTGTCAGAAAGACAGCAGCGAGTCATGGTACATGGCAAGGTGTCAGAGTGGGCACCTGTGACCAGCAGGGTCCCACAGGGGTCAGTCCTAGGACCAGTGCTGCTTCTGGTATTTGTGAACGACATGACGGAAGGAATAGACTCTGAGGTGTCCCTGTTTGCAGATGACGTGAAGTTGATGAGAAGAATTCACTCGATTGAAGACCAGGCAGAACTACAAAGGGATCTGGACAGGCTGCAGACCTTATCCAGCCATTGGCTCCTGGAGTTCAATCCCACCAAGTGCAAAGTCATGAAGATTGGGGAAGGGCAAAGAAGACCACAGACAGAGTACAGACTAGGGGGCCAGAGACTACAAACCTCACTCAAGGAAAAAGATCGTGGGGTGAGTATAACACCAGGCACATCTGAAGCGCACATCAACCAAATAACTGCTGCAGCATATGGGCGCCTAGCAAACCTCAGAACAGCATTCCGATGTCTTAATAAGGAATCGTTCAGGACCCTGTACACCGTGTACGTTAGGCCCATATTGGAGTATGCGGCACCAGTTTGGTACCCACACCTAGCCAAGCACGTAAATAAACTAGAGAAAGTGCAAAGGTTTGCAACAAGACTAGTCCCAGAGCTAATAGGTATGTCCTATGAGGAGAGGTTAAGGGAAATCAACCTGACGACACTGGAGGACAGGAGAGATAGGGGGGACATGATAACGACATACAAAATACTGAGAGGAATTGACAAGGTGGACAAAGACAGGATGTTCCAGAGATTGGACACAGTAACAAGGGGACACAGTTGGAAGTTGAAGACACAGATGAATCACAGGGATGTTAGGAAGTATTTCTTCAGCCACAGATTAGTCAGTAAGTGGAATAGTTTGGGAAGCGATGTAGTGGAGGCAGGATCCATACATAGCTTTAAGCAGAGGTATGATAAAGCTCACGGTTCAGGAAGAGTGACCTAGTAGCGATCAGTGAAGAGGCGGGGCCAGGAGCTCGGACTTGACCCCCGCAACCTCAACTAGGTGAGTACAACTAGGTGAGTACACCCACACACACCACACACACACACACACACACACACACACACACACACACACACACACACACACACACACACACACACACAACACACACACAACACACACACACCTGGAACGGCTAGGTGGCCAAAGACTGCAAACCTCACTCAAGGAGAAAGATCTTGGGGTGAGTATAACACCGAGCATGTCTCCGGAAGCACACATCAATCAGATAACTGCTGCAGCATATGGGCGCCTGGCAAACCTGAGAACAGCATTCCGACACCTTAGTAAGGAATCATTCAAGACACTATACACCGTGTATGTCAGGCCCATACTGGAGTATGCAGCACCTGTTTGGAACCCGCACTTGATAAAGCACGTCAAGAAACTAGAGAAAGTACAAAGGTTTGCAACAAGGTTAGTTCCAGAGCTAAGGGAATGTCCTACGAAGAAAGATTAAGGGAAATCGGCCTGACGACACTGTAGGACAGGAGGGTC